GGTACGTGTAGCAGAGGTGGAGCAGATACCACAAGAACAGATGCCACCTCCCCCCTCCTTTTGCCATAGTTACCTGTGTGCGCGACATAGAAGAGAACACACCACATCATGTCCTGCACCACGAGGAAAACGTCAGCCAACCATACCGCACACACCGCACACACCGCACTTGAGCGTACCGTTGATCACCAGAAGACAGTTAGCTTCCACTTCCACGGGTCGTCCGCACACACACGCGAGGTTAGAACACGCGCACGCGCGGTAGACAAGATGGCGGACGTGCACGCACCCTCCCCCCATTGTTTGTCTGTCAGTGTGGTGGGTTCACGCCACGATGACGGATGCCGGCGGCAGTACGACTCCGCGTCGCTCGGCCTGGCTCCTGCGCTCGGCCTCCGTCTCCTTCGCCTGTTCGTCGCCGCCTCGCGCCAACGCAATCCACTAAGGGCGGAGAGGAAACACAACACAGTGTAAACGAGCGTGTGCGATGATGCGTGTGCGGTGGTGCGTGTGCGTGTGCGGTGGTGCGGGGAAGAGGTAGGAACGTTGAGCCAGAGAAGGGCAGAGGTGGGGTGAGTCTGGACGGCCTTTTGGAGCAACTGTCGGGCTCCGGCCTCGTCGCCTTCGCGCATGCGCACCCGGGCGGCGCTGCAGAGTGTGTGCCGTGTCAGTCAACACAAAGAAAGGCCCTAAGGACCCCGTCCAGCGAGGTGACGCACTTGAGCCAGACCACGTCGAAGGCCGGATTCAATCGGAGAGCCGCGTCGAGGAGGGACCTGGCCGCAGGGATGTTGCTGCGCCCGAGCTCGAATCGGGCGACCCTGTTGCGTCGAACCGAGCGAAGAAGAGAAAGAAAGAAGTGGGAACCGATGAGCTCGAGAGAGAGAGAGAGAGAGAGAAGGCGGGGAGTACGAAAACGAGAGAGAGAGAAGAGAGAAGAGAGAAGAGAGAAGAGAGAGAGAGAGAGAGAGAGAGAGAGAGAGAGAGAGAGAGAGAGAGAGAGAGAGAGAGAGAGAGA